TTTATTTTAGTCTTTTTAAAACAATGTTAAATCACTTTATTACGTGAAGATGTAGCTCTCTGGAGAAGGATCTAATGCTAAGAAAGGTAAAAGGAAAGGAAAGATGAGGATGGCCAATAGCAAGATGGACAGACATGGTTAAAGTAGCTATGGATATAGCACTGAAGACATGAAATACTAGGCTAGGGATAAATCATCATGGAGAAAAATCTACCTACTTGGTCACTAAGATCAACATTGATTTGATAGCACATAGTCAGGGTTATATAACAGACACTGGGCCTTTTACATTCAATTACTGAACTTATTCATATGAGACCATTTTGAAAAACATGCTGAGAAACAATGTCCAAAGGAAGATTCAACTATGCTTGCCTGAATATAAGCAGGACTTTTTACATGATCAAGGATCCTGAATGTTGCCATATTTCATAATCAGTCATTTCCTTTGTATATCTTCGTCTGCTTCATCTGCTGTGGAACAGGCTGCATTCCACTTAGAAGAAATAAACCTGCTATTTGAGGGTCCTCCTAGACTTATGGCTCTTGCCAAAAAGGAAGTGGAGTCCATGGCCAGGAGGTTCTCTACCTATTATAGGTAAGTAAGCCATCTGTGGAGTGGTAAGTCTAGCAACAATCACCCCCCCCATTCATTACTACAAAATGGGACCACTACTGCAATACATTCCACTTAGAGCTGACCACAAAAACTACTCAGAAACTTTAACTGCTGCAAACCTAACTCTTCTATCACTTCATAGATCAACTAAATCTTATTATCCTTTTTACTCCTTCCGCCCTTATTGAGATGATGAAGATGATGATGATTCTGTTGCTTTGCATGTACACTGAGAGCTTCTGCACCAGAGACAAATTCCTTGTGTCTAATCACACTTGGCCAAATAAATTTCTGTTCTGTTTCTGTTCTGTTCTATTCTATTTCTGTTGTTTAACAGTAATTGACGATTAAAGGTAGTGTTTTTTTTGTCATAGAATGCACCGGAACAGAGTTCCGGCACCTTTTTTTGACAGATTTTCCAAGTTTTAAAAGTAACCTTTGAAAATTTGATGTTTGGTCCACATGGATTTGAATCACCTTGTCAAGCATAGCAGGTCGGCAGCAAAATCATTAAAACGGTGCATGTGGGCTGCTTGTATGTCAAGTCCAATGCATGTGTACTTCGTCCGGCTGCTTGGCTTGGGGCACTGTTCAGCTTGTGATTGGTCATGTGGTCGTGCACTGAGTGCTTACTGTGGGCGATGACCATTATGTTTCGTTACACAACTGACATGTGTGGGTGTGTGTACAGTGATTGACTACATGCAAAAGATAAATAAATGATTAACAAGATGTGAGTTCCGGCACCTTTTTTCTTACAAAAAAAGCACTGATTAAAGGTAATGCACAAGCATCATTATTACAAAATTCTTGAATTTGTTGCTATTATTATTGCCATTGTTATTAATGTTACAGGTTTTAAAATTTGATTTTAGTTGTTCAGCATCTTTAGAATAGAATGGAATATGAAGCATATAAATGAAAAACAAATGAACTTGCTATTAAGCTAGATCAGCAACAGTAGGGCAGCCATCACTGGATATGAGATGGACGGCAAATAAATTTTATAAATAAATAAACAAATAAATAAATAAATAAATAGTTTCTTTTGCTTCTATGAAAATTTACAAAGCTATTTATGCGTCCTGCAAAATGCACATGTTTTGATTACATGTTAATGATGTTGCGAAAGAGAATTGCAGCAAAGGGTTCAGCTTCAAAAACACAAATTGCTCAACCCAGAGGCATTTGTCACTGTTCCATCATACTTGGAATTTGTAAAAAAATAAAAAAAACCCTGCAATATGGTACACTAAAGGCAGTTCAATCTCTGTACTGCTGACATATGAATAAGAACTACTGTATTTGCCAAGTTCATATTACCGAGCAAGTATAACCACAGCAAGCATACTTTATATATAAATATATGCAAACTATTGGTCCATTAAAGAATACTGCTACTCATATATTCCATAAAACTCTTTCTTCATATTTTTTCCAAATGGAAACTGGAACAGCAATAAGCTACAACCACCCTGAATTTTTGTAGCATTGAATCTGATAAACATTTTTAAAGACTAAGACAAATTATTTTAGCATTGTTAATAATCAAAGCAATGCCTGTCAGACTTGTTTCCCTTCCTGAGAATCATACTTTATTTAGCAATATTGATCATTCCAACTCTGATTTTTTTGTCCTAAAATAGGTGAACTAGAATGTGGCTAAGTGGATTTAAATTCTATTTGTGTAGATGCATCCTTAAGACTGACTTAAGCATGAATATGTATATATATCATGCACATCATTATTTGTGCTACAGACAATGGAATATGCTGACATTACAAGCAAATGTAATTGTATGTAGTTTTAACAGAGGGATAGAATCAAGATCACGTGAAGTGTTAATACCACTTTATAATACCTTAGGAAAGCCACACTTGGAATACTGCATCCAGTTTTAGTCACCCACAATATAAAAAGATGTTGAGCTTCTAGAATCTAGAAACAGTGCAGAGAAGAGCAACAAAGATGATCTGGGGACTGGAGGCTAAAACATATAAGGAACGGTTGCTGGAATTGGGTATGTCTAGTTTAATGAAGAGAACGACTGGGGTGACATGATAGCAGTGTTCCAATATCTCAGGGGTTGCCACAAAAAAGAGGGAGTCAAGCTATTCTCCAAAGCACCTGAAGCCAGGACAAGAAGCAATGGATGGAAACTAACCAAAAAGAGAAGTAACCTAGAATTAAGGAGAAATGTCCTGACAGTTAGAAGTTAGAACAATTAACCAGTGGAATAACTTGTCTCCAGAAGTTGTGAATGCTATAACACTGGAAGTTTTTAAGAAGCTATGGGACAACGATTTGTCTGAAATGATATAGGATTTCCTGTCTGAGCAGTGGGTTGGACTAGAAGATCTCCAAAGTCAGTTCCAACTCTGTTATTCTTTATTCTATATTCTTTTACATCAGCAAAATCACCTGGCTATGGTACTATGGAGTGCTAAAATGCAAACAAAAATGCTATTGCATAAGGTTTTTTATCTAGATCAAAAATACCTAAATGAGTGTATTCTTTGTAGAGGTTTCTCAAGGTAGTTATCATATTAAGTCCATCCTTAAATTTATCAAGATGAAGAAGCCTATAAACTTTGCACTCCACAATACATCTGTTATGTCATAACCCCTAATAACTCATATTCAAGCTGACTTTAGAACAGTGCTCCAGTCACACTAAAAGTCATAATCCATTTTAAGTGCTAAGGTGTGGTAGTATTTCAACCTCCTCTCATCTCCTCAAATACTATTGATCCAACCATGCCTCTTTGCAATAATAAAAGATGAAATAAAAATAATACAGGGAACTGAACTTCCAGGGACACTACAGTACTCTTTAAGATGGCCTTACCACATTTTGTTATTATATGCTACTACTGTAGGACAAAGTCATGCTGAGTCAACTTGGTTAATCTCAAAAAGTTAAACTAAGTCAGATTTGGCAAATATTTGATGGAATCTATCAGGAAATTCCAGGCATATAAATAGGACAGGACAGGACAGGACAGGACAGGACAGGACAGGACAGGAAAGGAAAGGAAAGGAAAGGAAAGGACAGGAAAGGAAAGGAAAGGGGAAAAGGAAAGGAAAAGGAAAAGGAAAAGAATCCCACTTCGATATTGTTGCCAAGAACAACTGCATTAACATATCTATGAAGTAGTCAGAATATGAGAGTTTTTGATTAGCAATTAAAATCAATATATAGAAAAATAAACCGGCTTTAAGTTTGTGGCACTCTGTTTCAAACTGCAATCTACAGATCAAAAATAAATACAACCTAAAAAATTAAGAAAGATAATCTGGAAAAGAGCCATTTAAAATACAAAGCGAAGGGAGGAAAATATAGAAATATGAACTACAATAGTCTGAATATCATCTAGAACTACCTACAATACTCTGGAATTTATGCCAGGAGCAATTAAAACTATCAAAAGCTACTCCTGTAAAATGCACAAAGAAATGGTCCTCTTTATCTACATATCTATTGCATTAGTGGGATATAGGTCCATTAAGCAATTCACTAAATAAAATCTTGCATATTTTCACAATTGTTTACATTATACCAACAGGTTGAAGGCCTTGGCTACATGATAAATTGACAGAGTTAATGTCTGGCTTTACACAGTAAGCCAAAACAAATATATTTGTTGTTTAGAACAAATTATTAATGTAGACAAAATGTCCTGAAGCAACTGTTTAGTGAGTTGTACATTACACAGTGGCTGTTTTAAACTTGAAACTTTTATATGTGGTTTACAGATTAAAAGGGATTGAATTCATCTCCTCATTTATATTTTGTTTGCTTAATCCAAGAATAGGCCATCTGAGCTCCAGGGCTACATATGTGCCCTGAACTCCAGAACCATGTCAGATCACAGTTGTTGAAAATTAACGGTATGATTTCCTATCACTTTGTTACCAAAACAATAAAACTATAGTGCCAGCCATAAAATCATCACCCAAGAAATATAATGACTTGGTAAATTCATAAGTAAGCCATGAATCATCACACTGAATTTTACTTTACTTTTTTGCCATTTATTCATGTCCGATTCATGACGTATACCTAACAGGTCACTGAAGTTTCTTGATGAAGTTTTTTTTAGAAGTGGTTTGCCATTGCCCCCTTCCTAGGGCTGAGAGAAAGTGACCGGCTCAAGGTTATTCAGCTGGCTTTGTGCCTAAAGAGGGATTAGAACTCACAGTCTCCCAATTTCTAACTTGATGCCAAACTGGCTTTTAGGCCCAATGAATAATATACAATAAAATTCTGGGCACTCTTTTGCTATTAGGATGGACATGTAGGATCTAAAGAAGCAGCAGAAGAGAAACAAACAAACAAACAAACAAACAAAATCAATATTTCTGGACCTTGTGTCATACCTGTTCTCCAACAGAGTCATGCAAACAACTTCTCGCACACCAGGATTGTTGGCTTTTTCAATAGAACAGTTTTGCAGATTCCAAGTAGCCACCCTCAGCACAGGTCGCCCATCCCGCACCCCACCAAACATTTCCACTGAGGGTCTTGTGGAGATCATCTGTGTTGGCCCTCCAGGAGGAAAATCCAAATCCTCACTCTGGAGGCTCAGGGATGTGGGGCTTGGGTGAGGCTTGACAATGAAATTAAGGCCACCATTAGTATTTGTGGAAGGGGGTCTTGACCGTTCTGCAAAGATTTGATGTCGGATTTTGTCCAGAAATGAAGAGTTGATACAGTCCATCTTGACCAAGTCCTCAATACTTTTAAAGGGCCCATGTTCTTTGCGGTATTCTACAATACTGTTGGCAATCTTTTCTGTGATACCACGGATGCTCATGAGCTGAGCAGAGGTGGCTGTGTTAATGTTGATTTTAGTAGCTGAAAGGTGATCCAGATTCTGGTCTTTTCTTAAAGAGCTGGGAGAGTGCTGTGCAGAATTTCCTTTGCTGCTCACACAGATCTCAAACTTCACCTGCTCCAGCTTGGCAGCCCCGACTCCACTCACCAAGGCCAAGTCTTCAACTTTCTTGAAGCCACCAATATACTCACGATATTCCACAATATTTTGGGCTACCATCCTGGTGACCCCAGGAAGAGTCATGAGCTCCTCCTCTGTGGCTGTGTTAATATTCAGCCTCTCCTGGTTCACAAGGATGTTGCTGAAATTGCATGCTGCGCTGAATTTACGGCTATGGCAAAGATCCGAAGGGTCTCGGGGAATGGAACGGTGGCAGCCAAGGTTACCCCCCATCGTTCTTTTATTTTGCAATGATCCCAAATCAAAGTGACTTGTTTTCCAGCTTAAACAGGACAAGCAACTTCCAGGCAGAGACGGCTTGCAAGGCCTTCAGGTTGAAATGACAGTTCTGCAGATAAGTTCTGAAGAAAAAGGACAAACGGCAAAGCGCCTTTCAGAAAACCCTGGCAACATCACGGGAGGGTGAGATAGTAAACACTACTTAAAATCAGAATTGCGAGGCTGGAGTAATCGCTGGCTTCCGAAGGTACTTCAGCAGCCAAGCCGTGGGGAAAGTTAAAAATACTCTAAACACACGCACACACAGCCACCGTCGCACGATGAAAGGCCAGCAACAAAAGCTGCGGGTCAATAAGCCTGCCTCCTTTTTTCCCCCTTCCCCCTTGAATGGAAGAGAACCTTTCTCGCCCCCCTTGTTTCCGCCGGGCAGGCGAAGCGTCCCACATTTGAAGGAACCGCACCTTCCACTCGACCGAGTCTCTCCAGAGCCTCTGCAGCGGTGCGGTCCTACAGGGGCATCTCGCCGGGAAGCATCCGAGCTCCGGGAAGCAACGCAGTTCCTTTTCTAGCAGCTCGTCGCCCCCGCCCCTCCTGTAGGGCTTTTCCTTTCCGATCTCCGCCAGTGGATTTCTCAACCTCGCCGCTTTTTGCAAAGCCAAGTAGGCGAGAGAAGAGGAAGAGGCTCAACACCTCGCCCGCCGCCCGCCTTGGGTTTTCGCAGTGCTCTTCCTCCGCAAGGTCGGCTGGTGTTTCTGCTTTCCTCCACTCTCACTCCGGCAATAGGCTTGTCTGCGATCGCCCTTGGAGGGATCGAAGCCGTCCTCCTCTTGCGGGCAAGGAGAATGCCCCAGACAACCAGCCTCCGGAGCCAGCAGCTATGCCACAGCCCGACTTGTTACACGCGCGAGTTGTTGAGCTTAGGGGCGGCGCGGGGGAGCAATGGCCGGGACCGCCTCAAAGCACAGCGGAGGCGGGGCCTCTGCGCTCGGGCTGAGATTGTCTGCGCTGTTGGCGCTGGACTAACTGGCTGCTAAAGCCGGCTGCAGAGGCTAAGAGTAGCCTTAGGCCGAACTTTGGAAGCTCAGTTGCCCCTTCCCGTCATTGCATAGACATACAAACCTTTGGCCTTGTGAGTCCAGGCTGCATCTGACTGACTGTCCCTCAAGAGTGCCTCATCCCTCTGGCCTCTGCACACGGCGTGACTTGCAGATTAAGTGGCCCTCTATGCTAGATATGCGAGCGCTTCCGTGCGCTCGTGGATGGAGGAGGATTTGACTGGCGGAGCCTCGATTTACAGGGACGACAGGAGATAGGGACTTCGACAGGTCAGGCACAGATAGAAACAGGAGGTTGTCACGTGCTTTTCCAGCTGATGCGTCCAAGAGCTTTTGGCATTTGGCAGGTTACTGAAGCTTCTTGGACTTGAAAGAGTTCTTCGGTGGTTAATCAGCTAATGCTGGTAATTCCGAAAGGTGCAACTGGTAAAAAAGAGTCTACAAACGGCTCGTCACTGCTCATACTGGAGAAAGATCCTGTTTTTTTCCGGAGGAGGTTTTACGGGGAGATTAGTCAAAAGTGTGTGTGTGGGAGGGAAGCGTTCAGATGTTTTCACCTTTCAGTTGTCAGGCCTTGGGGAAAACTGGGGAGGAGGGACTTCTGAAAGAAAGTGCCTCTTCTTTAGTGATTGTATGGCACTTGGGAAACTGCAGAGGTATCAAATATGCATAAAGCATGGAATAATAATTATATTAAATTTGTATGCTGGTTGACTCCCAACAGTTCTAAGGGACAATTCATAACAATCCACAAAGATATTATAATAAAATCAGTAACAAAGATAAAAGATGGTGGACTCCATGAAACAGAGGTCTCATTCTCACTCATTTTCACTCACAAAAGTCTGGGTGAATTGTTGCATTCCTTCATCTCTTTGTCCCAGAAGCAGCAATGCATTTTTTTTCTCTCTCTCTCTTCCCATCCCAACTACATAAAAACAACTGCAGTGGTAATAAAGCTACCCAAGAAAAGGTTAACTAGGAACTGATCACTAATATTAAAACCAATTGTGGTTTGGTTCATGGTGAAACCTTCCTTGGATGGCACAAAATGTAAATGGCAGTGTGGTGTGATGTGGTGAGACAGGATACTATTAGATGCCTCTGCCTCCACCTCCTACTTCATTAGATGATGGAGAAGATTGAAAGAGAGCTGTTAGATGGGGGGGAAATTAAAGGAAAAGTTTTTAAAAATTGCAGATCTTTCTTTATAATATTGTAGAAAACAGCCAATCAATGCTGTGTTTTTCCTCAGGTATACTGTAGATTTAATCACCCTTTTTCAGAGCTAAAAATGCCTGAAAAGAAAAAATCCATTTCAGTGAACAAAATAAGGCAATTTCATAGTGTGAGGCTATTCATTATTCCTGAATTCAAATTTTTGCTCAGTTCTGAAGCCCACTTAATATAACTCAAGGATTGACTTCATGCTAAGCCATAATTTAATTATAGTTTACTGAATAAAAGTTGTGAGTTGTGAGCTCACAAGATGCTAAGTCAAAAGATGCTATTTAAATTAACATGTTGTGTGGAACCAAGCTTAAATTTCAACCTAAAACATAGCATAGATTAGTTGTGAGAAGGAGGTGGGAGATTCTCAGGAATGCTGTCATAGGGCAGGAGCCCTGTAGTGGATTAGCAGGAGACATGATTAGGATGACGACTAGCATATTCAGGTAAACATCCAATTGGGGACAGGAATTTTTTTCTTTAATCATTTATTTGAATACTGGATTAACTGTGAATTGAATTAAATCCTGGAATGCAACACTTTGATAAAATTGCAACCTGTGACTTTGTACTTAGAAGGAAATGCCAGGCAGTGAGATGTTCAGATTGTTCCAAATATTAGTTATTTTGAGGTGCTTTCTGTTTCTTCTCAGAATATTTAAAGTTGAAGAACATAAGTTCATTATAAAAGTTCCTGTTCAGATCTATGCTAAAACAAAATAAAAATGCATTAAACAAATAAACTGTAACTTAATTTTGTGATAGAAGAAGTAAGTAAAGAAAACTTAAGCAGGAAAATGGATTAAAAGACCAAATTTATTTCACACCATCTTGCATTTTCAAGACCATGTTAGCTGAATCTTTGTATGAAGAAATTGGAAGGCAGTTCATTTTTAAACGATTCTGACATTTAACCAGTAAATTTGCATCCATCTATACTTGATTAGATAGTTTATACCAGTATTATACCAGTATTTTAAATTTGACATTTTCTCAATTTAGTAGACAAAACATTAGTCCAAATCTCATTAACTATGCCTCTATTCCTTACATACACACTTTATTCTTTTATACAGCATATACATTATATTATGCTGGATGCTCTTCTCTGACATCAAACAGGAACACAATCTAAAAAAGTCTCTAGATGACAGAAAAATCAAGTCTGAAAATTTTGTAGTGCTATTAGGAGGGTGACTACCGTATTTACCTAAGACAGCTGAATGACCAGAATCCCAACTGTTGTTAAATATGTTAAATCATGTTAGATAAATAACTCTATCAGGATGTGCTCTGTTAGCCTTAGGGAGAAATAGTTGATCAGTTGTGATAATAGTTGCCTTATTTTGGAAAAAGGGGAAGGTTGTATAAAGGACAAGGGGAAGATTCCCACTTTATATCTCCAAAATGTTCTGTAGAGTGTTATAAAGTTGCTCACTTTCTACATTTGTTTCTGAAAAGTCACATTCAGTGGCCATATTTGGGCAAGGACCTCAATTTATACCAGGGGTGTCAAACTTTCAATGTCACATGACATGTTGTGACGTATCATGACTTTTTTTCCATTGCCGGCAATGGGGTGGGCGCGGTTTCGGCATGACATATCTGGCCCCTGATTTATAGCAACTTAAACAAAAAGGTGAAATTTGAAAGCAGTTATACATTTCTGCTGAGGCTGAGAATTAAAGAGAGTTTGGACTGATTTCTTTAAACAGTGATCCTAAGAGCTGGATTGCAATTGGTGTAGGTTGAGGAGGGCTGGTTTTTTAGTTCAGCTAAAGACAAATTAGAAGTAAGGATACCTGACTATAAAAACAGGAATCCAGTCAGTCCCTCCTCAACTACCTCAGCTCTATATAGCAGACTGCTTTACCTCTGAACATACCATTACTGGCAGAATGTCAAGAAATCTGTGTTCAAGGTCACCAAACCCTAAAGCCCAAAGCTGCTCAACAGATAGGGTTGTGAAACCACCAGTAAATTATGTAATGTTTTAGTTGGCTACAGTGCTTTTTTTGTAAAAAAAAAAAAAATGGTGCTGGAACTCACACATGTCATACAACCCGCCTTGCCTACCCTACAAGGTTCCATCCAAAAAAGGTGCCGGAACTCAGTTCTGGGCGTTCTATGACAAAAAAAGCCCTGGTTGTCTACAGTAGTTGGGGGAAGAAGGAATAACTGACTGTCATACAACATCTGGAATCAAATAAATGAGCCAGTTCAGTCTAGTGGTGAAGGTACCAGGGTAAAAAACTGGAGACCCACCTTAGCCATGAAGACCAATTGGGTGACTTTGAGCCAATAATTCCTTCTCAGCCCAACTCACCTCACAGGATTGTTGTTATGGGGAAAATAGGAATAGAAAAATGTGTTGAATATGTTCATTATCTTGAGTTATTTGTAAAAATAATAAAGGTGGAATATAAATAAATAGATATAAACTGCCTACATCTGGACTGTGAACATTGATCATCTGGGTTTTTTAGGGGTATTGGGATGGATTGAGATAGGGAAACAGCTTGATCTATCCCATGCCACTGAATGCATGCTATACAATTAATCCTTAGCTTGGGAAAACATTGCCGTATAACCCATGGCTTTTCAACTAGTGGTACATGTACCACCTGTGGTACATTGGCACATGGCAGGTGGTACGCCCAGGGAACGAGCCAAAGTGGCGCAGCACAGGACTTGCCATGAGCGAGTCTTCAGAAGCTGCAGGGACAAAGACCCCAGGATCGGCACTTCCAGCACAGAGGGGGCAGAGACAGGAAAGGATATAAAAGGTGGCAATTTGGGTGGGAGAGGGAGAGAAAAAAAGATGCAGCCTTGGGAAGAGGAGGAAGAGTCAGCTGGAGCTGCACTGAAGGTAAAAGAAGGAGGGGGGGCGAGAGAGGAGAGGATAAAAAACAGGCTGGATGTGTACATGGGTGGCAGCGACAAACAGGTAAGAAACACGGCTAGGAAAGGGCCGCAGCATGAGAGTCCACGTTGCCTGCGCCATGCCGCCCAGCCCCA